CTTCCAGAAGAATAACAAACCACAAACCAGTGTGTTTATGATTATTAAAATACATTGAATAATGTGTTAACATGTACCAGTTTGCAATATAAAACAGTATAATGGATGAAACTGAAAGCCTGACACATAATATTCCTGTTACAAATGGTCCCGCCTACTCTTAGCCTACGTTAGAATAAGTGTTGCATCAAATCCATATATCGGAGAATGATGCATGTAAAATTTAAGAAAGTTAAGTTAATCTAAGTTGTGAGATTAAAGTGAGAGGCAGAAATACTCAAGGAAAGAAAAAATAGCAACCTCACAAGAATGTAACACGAATGCACAGATAGTTCCAGTATTCATGCACTGAAAAAAATGCGATAGACATCACGATGTTTCTCAAATGAGTAATTCAAGCGCTATACACAAACATCCACTTATATGGGCTATTACATGCAGAAGGACTTGGCCTATAACTAGAACTCTTTCTGTTTGTGTCAAAATGACAACAAAATATGAATGCAGTGCATTGTGTTGCCTCTAGCATCTTGAAGACATTGCCAAGAAATATAAATGTCTGATAAATGTCATTTATCTCTAAGTTCAAGATAGAGGGAAGGAAGGTTGCAAAGAAACCTGAGAAGGTGATCTGTTTGTGACGCATGCAGACCATTTTATGTTAATATAAAGGTTAGCCAAGATACAAAAATGTCAGGCATTTAAACAACAGTCATGGAAATAAACTTGGTATGTAAGCTATTTCCACCAAAAATAAACATGTAAAGATATTACAAACTCCAACAATGTCCAAGAAGTGACCTGCAATGTCTTGTCTGCACTCTTAAAAGTAAAGCTATAGGATTTCACAGTGATTCCATAGATGAACCATGTGAGGAACGTTTTAATTTTCTAAAGAATCTTTTTTGCAATAGTAATGTTCCATGTGTGTTAAAGGTTCTTCATGGAATGTTGTGAAGAGCGTTTGCCTTTAACAAATGTTTAACAACATGCCTGGCCAGTCTCAGAAGACTCCAGACTTTGTACAGCCATGATCTCATGGTAGAATAATTCAAATGGTAATTCACGTGGAAAATGATTACGTCATTATGTTAATATTTAGCTGAGCATGCAGGCATGGATATTTTCAAAGGTTTTTCAAGCACTCACATCAAGATGAATAATCATATATATAAGAATACATTTTAGAAATATATGTAAAGTAAGACTTATGTTTAAAAACATGCAAATATAGAACAAAGGCAAAATGCACTAACAAGCAGTTAGATCTAAACATCTTAAAATAACATTAATAAATTAGCTTGAAATATTTTTATATTATATATTTATTGTAAAATATATTTTAGTAAATATATAATAAACATGTAGTGTCATTAAATTTGTTTTAGCCATTTAAAAAAAAGATACACCCAGTCAGTATAGATCACACACACACACACACACACACACACACACACACACACACACACACACACACACACACACACACACACACACACACACACACACACACACACACACACACACACACACACACACACACACATACTGTATATATAAATATTTATAAATAATATAAATATTTTTTCTCTTAAACATACATGCATGTGTGTGTGTATTTATATACAAATTAATTATACACAGTGCACCCACATATATTATGTAAACACAAAATTTTATTTTGGAGTACAGCAGTACACCTTACTCTTTTTTTTAAATGGCTAAAACACATTTAATGACACTACATGTGTATTATATATTTACTATAATACATTTTTCCATAAATATATAATATAAAAAGATTTCAAGGCAATTTATTGTTATTTTAAAATGTTTAGATCTAACTGCTTAAGACATGTTTTTAGTATATTTTGCCTTGTTATTTGCATGTTTTTAAACATAAGCCTAAATATATAAATATTTCTATAATGTATTCTTACATCACCCTTTTGTTCTCAGACACAGAACAGCATTCAAATGATTTTCTAGGTGCTATTTATAGCCGATAGACACCTAAACTTTGATGTTGCTATTTTTAGACTTTTTTAAACATAAGCCATACTATATATATATATTTCTAAATGTATTCTTACATCACCTTTTTATTATCACTGTTCTCAGACACAGAACAGCATTCAAATGATTTCCTGGGTGCTATTTATAGCTGATAGACACCTAAACCTAGAAGTTGCTATTTTTAGACTTCTGCATAAACAAAGTACATATACAGCTCGAAAAAGAGGAAAAAACAACCCAAGTGAAATCTATCTTAAGCCCAGATCCAAAATTATACACATTTATATTTGATTATTTTCCAAAATTTCTAAATAATAAAAGGTTAGGTCTCAAATTAGCCAGTGCTATTTTCTTCATACAATGAGTTATTCATTCCTTTCTGCAGATTTGACCTCAACTGTAATTGGAATTGGTGACGCTGTAGAGAAAAATACAGTATACAGTAATTCTATATGACAACAGATTTCTTGTACAAAGCAGCAGGAACTGCATTAAAGAAAATGAACCACATAAATCAAGGGAAATGTCTCAATGTAAGACTGGAAGCATTTTAAAATCAGTGTAATGTGAGTCGATCAAAAAGACTGAAAAGGACTCAAACCACATGCAACCATTGAAATCTGAGCCTTTTGTGAAGTTGTATTAATCCAGGTTAAACTACACATTAGGTCTGTTCTTTAAACAGACAGTTCACCCAAAAGTAAAAATTCTGTCATTATTTACTCACTTTGTTATCCTTAAGTTAATCTTTGATTAAGAGTCAGCACATTTGATCATGAACGTCAGTGCTGACACTTTCGACGGAAGTTTGTAGTCATCAAGATAAAATATGAATCAAAAAGTGATGTAAAATAAGGTGTGACCAACTGTAAATGCTTACGTTATTTTAGTTGATAAATCCAAAGGGTCAAATAACTGTGGATTTAGGCCTCTGAGATGAGTCATAATAGCTCTTACCTTTTCATATCTTTGATACAAAAATGTGTGTAATATAAATCAGCGAAAATGAATCTAACAACAGCTGCATTCATGATACATTGTTGACAAAAAAGACTGCTCTTAATACATTTCTGCAGTGTTTGGGACAGATAATTTTAAAAGTAATGCATTACAATATTGCGTTACTCCATAAAAAAGTAACTAATTTCGTTAGTTACTTTTTATAGAAAACAGTAAGTTTTGGTTTGGTTTCACCTTTCACACTGCGAACTTTACGTGACATTCTTCCTGTCATCATCAACTAGTATGTGTGGGCTGCATCTTGACATTGATTGGTTTAGAAATCGGACGTGCGTCTGACGTCAGCATGTTGTCAATTCGGCGGGTAACTTTGACAACATGAACGGACATACGCATATCGTTGCAACTATATTGTTATTTTTATGGCATAATTACTTGCAGCACCAACTATACACAAGGCTAGTTCAAATTCTCCAAATGAACGTCCTCGTCTTGCGAATATTTTATTGTCGCCGGCAGGAAATGAGGAGAAGATTGCAAGTTGACTTGTGAATGTCATCAGACCATACTTAAATTAAAAACCTCGTCTCCTCATCTCCCCATGTGCTAGACGGCTCATTTTTTCCGTTTTGGGAACCACCAGAACTTCCTGTAAAAGGTCTGATAGTGCGAACCATAACTGATAAATGCTTTCACACTAGAAACGAACCAAACCTTTTTTCATTTTGACCCGGAACGTTACCTCTTTTCGTCGGACCAAATTTAATTTGTTTGGTCCGGTCCGGGGGAGGTTTCAGCGTTTCACACCTCCAATTTTGATTTGGACCAAACTGAAAAGTCCAAAAGACCAGACCAAACAAGGTAGGTGTGAAACTTTCCTCCATCTTGTTCACTCGGAAGTACGTCATTGCTTACGTTGGATGAGTGCCCACTTCTGGCAGAACCCTTGCAATGTGTAATACTCAGCCTACATACAATAATACAAGTATTAAATGTGGCTAAATGTCAATATAGTGCCAATATAATAAAGTGAGATTAAATACATCAAGTTTTTTTTCTATTTTTTTTTTTAAATATATGTAATTATTGCAGGTTTGCATAATATTCATTCTGAGTTTGCAGTTTACTATGTTTATTCATTTGGAGCAATACTGAATCTGTTTTTGTGAATATTAAATGAAGAAATGCCTGCTCACATTTAGTCTAGAACTAATCATATGTTCACACAGCACACACAACGCCTCTGCACTGACGTCTGAGTTCTTATGGGGTTATGAGAGCTGTCAGTCAACTTGTGTTGCTCATTTGAAAAAGTTAACTTTTTTTTTTTTTTTGTCGTAATGGAATGTGTTACTATTTGTGGAAAGTAATCTGATTATGTGTTCATGGACTCTCGTTAGTTGTAATGTTTTACCCCTACACTGCATTTTTGTCTGATGTTGCAACATGACAATCTGATAAGTATTAATCTACATCAAATGTGGTTCTATCCCATGCACATACATTTACTTACATTTGAATAGTCAGCATCTGAAATGTAAATCATACAAATAAATGCATAACATTTTTTATGATTCCTAATAATCTATTAATATTTAATTGGTTGGTTCATCTATTTATGATCATTGATCATAGGTATCATCACAGTTACTGTACAAAATAGCCCTCATAGTTCTGTTGAAAAAGGGTTTGGACAAACAGAATTTTAAACAAAATGTTTAATTTTTTTTTTTTTTCATCTGAACACTTTTACAGGAAAAAGTGAGATTTTAAAGGAATGAACTAATTTGTAAATTAGCTTTTAAATTAATCAAATGTGTATTTTAAGCATAATGTAATGAATGAATTTTATAGACTTAATCAGACCATAATTCAGAAGAATGTGGTTTTGAAAGCAGGAAGTAGATTACTGTTCAATTGCCTCACACCTGCTCAGTGGCGTGCAACATATCCACAGGAATGTAAAGGGGAGTAAACATAAATTCCAGAGGTGGGGAAAATCCAAATCAGTGGCTTAAAAAGAGTGAAGCTCTCTGAAGCTCTTCAGATCTTTGTCTATGTGGATTAACAACACTTAGGCTATTCTTTGTTAGATACTGGACCACTTCCAAAGTTCAAAGATGGTAATAAAAATATGGATTTTGGCCTTCGTTACACTCCTCATTTTTCAGGTGGAGACAGAGGCAGGTGAGTGAAAGTGCTTTCAAGTAATAATATGCAATAGATCTTTTACATTGAATGCTCTCTATTAATGCATTTTTATATGACTCGTGTTGTATGTGCTGCTGAAAACAACTGCTGTATATATATAATATATAAATTACATAACCCATTGATTGCATGGACTAGTATCGCTTTTTAAATGAAGATTATGTTTCATGATCAAGGGTACAATTGTAGTACAAAAACAAGATGGATCTCATTATCTGTTCAGTTATGAGCCTATCCCTTAGCTGAATTTAAATAGAAACCCGAAACGTATGTCCGTAATGCTACACTACCCTTTATTGTTGTTATTGTCATTTTGGAAATTAGTGGAAAGTTTGACACAGCCTGTAGATGTGTAAAGACTTGAACAACTCTTTCCCTTCTGTTTCACAGGTAGTTGCTGCCTCAGTTACACCAAAATACCCAGACGCTGTGGAGTTCTGAAAGGCTATGATATCCAAACTATAACTGGCGGCTGTGATCTTGCAGCTATAATGTAAGTATTTTTATTTTATTTTGCATACATATTTGATGCACTCTATGTACGTTAGAAATTGCATAATAAATGAGTATAATTTTACCAAAAAAAAGTGCACAAAGACAAAATGTGTTGTAGTTTTGATTATTTCACCAATTGTAACAAATAGTAATAATCCAGAATAGCCTACACTCTTAGAAGAACCCTTAAAAGGTTCTATCAGCGCTACATATTTGGAACCCCTAAAAGTTCTATACAGAACCCTTTTTAAGGGTTCTATGTGGAACCTTTTGGGTTCATTCATTATCATTTGTTTTGTCCTTTCTGAATTAAATATTTCATATTATTGAAATAAGACTCAAACATGTATTTATGAATGCATGTGAATAATCATAAAATTCATGATATGGGGTTAGAAAAAGTATATATTTATATTATTTTATGTAGTTAATCAATATCACACAAAGAGAGCCATTTCAGTTTTTCTCCTCCAAAAATCAGCATGATTAAAATGTGATATTAAGTTACTACAACAGTTTAATAAACAATAACTTAATTACAACTACAAAATGTTGCAGAATAATGCAATATATGAATGAATAATAGCCTATAAAGAACCTTTTGTGCCAAAAGGGTTCTTTCTTGTCATTATTGAATCTTTTTTAGCATAAAAGGTTCTTTGGAGTTGAGTAAAGATATCCTTCATATATAGAACCCGAATGTACCCTTTTTTCTAAGAGTGTACGTGTATGTATTGTTATGTGTCAATACTTGAAAAAAAAAATAAGAAAAATGTAATGTGCATTCAAGTCAAGTCAATTCAAATATATTTATATGGCGCTTTTCGCAATACAGATTGAATCAAAGATGCTTCACAGTACCAAAGCAGCTCTGATACAATCTGTCAGTATCATTCCCAAGCTTTGTTATGTTGCGTTTAATCACGCATTATAATTTTTTCTTTAATTTTTATTCTGATTTTCAAAAACACTTTCACTGTATATTTTGGGGGTTGGATTTGCAATGCCACGTGAATAACCACGAGTCCTTTATTTTATGGACATAATGATGATAGTATTGTCTGTGGTTATTGAGTTCATGGCATGTTATATCATTGCAGCTTCCACACCGAAAAAGGAAGAAAAATTTGCGCTGACCCAGCACAGAATTGGACACAAAGCAGAGTCGAGTGCTTAAAGTATGAGAAAGTGACTTGTCAATCAATAACATGAAAAAATACCGTATATAGTGTGCTTAAAAAATATATTTATGGAAAAAAATGTCTTTCCCCTATAGGATAAAAGCAGCAAGAATGAAGACAGGCAAAAGATATGCATTATAAGAAGAACTCTTTACTTTTAAAGTTACATTACTTCTGTTTATATGTGTGTGTCTGTGTGTGTGTGTGTGTTAGCCAAGCAATAAGGTACGAGAGGCTGTGCTGTATTATAAGTATCACTTATTCACAATATAGCACTTGTCTCGAGTACCTTATTGCTTTTATAAAACGGTTACCACACAATACAAATATTAAAGTAAACAAAATTTGTATTAGTGCAACTATCATAAGGTAAAATCATATCATAGTAAACAATATTAAAGTAAACAAAATATGTATTAGTGCAACTACCATAAGGTAAAATCATATTTAAAAAAAAGTCCCTGACCGTGAATAACAACAACGTTCCAATGTGTAATATGCATGAAAGCTCAAATAAAAACAACACAGGAACTGCAGTGTTGCCGTTTTATCATGAATAAAGCACAGCTATTGACCAATCAGAATCAAGGATTGGAACTAACCGTTTTAAAAACATAATCACAAACACACACACATTTATATATTCTTTATTGGCATTACTTAATTGCAATTTCTTCTGAGTATTTATAGAGGTCGTGAAACAAGCTACTATATAGATTGCTTGTATTGTATTTGTTTGTATTTTAGACCTTTTTGTGTTTTGTGTTTCTTTAAAATAATTTTGTTTTGATACAAAATTCTCAAATTTGAATAGTTTTAATAACTACCTAATTTAGTTCACTGTTTTTTTTTTGTTTTTTTTTTTGTTTTTAAAAAGTAATTCAAATACTATTTAAATGTTTCTTTAAAGAAATAATATATTAAAATGAGTTGTATATTTGATAAGATTCTACCATTCTCAAATGGTCTCTTGAACCTGTATTTTGGAATTTTGTCTTTGGTTACTCAATGCTGCCCTCTTCTGTTCAAGTCTTGCCAGAATGATAAATAGGGCATCTTAATATAAAATGAAATAAATATTTTATGCATTTTTTATATATATAAATTGTTTTTGTTTTCTGTTACATTTCACTTATATTTTCACTTATATATTTTTTTACTGTATTTTTAAATAAAGATTCTTAATTCCACTCTGAATTTTTGTAATGACTAAGAAAATTATTACACAATGGATTTTAGTTTAAAAAAAAGGTTTTATAATTTTTTTTATTGAGAATGGTTACTAACTGATTAATTCAATAAATTTTATGTAGGACTTCACAATAATTAAACTGATAATCACAATGATATTTTGCTTAAAAAATAATAAGCATGATTAATATCCAGGTATTCCAGAGAAAGATATTCTCAGCTATCAATTTCTGGTTCCCAAGAACGCTAGTTTTTTGTTCTCAGAACATTAGATTTTGGTTCACAGAATGTTATTTCTTTTTAAGGCTTTCTTTTTAAAAAAAATTCTTTTTATTTTCTTCTTTTGGTTTTCCAGGAAAGTTGGTATTCAGCCGGGGATATTTACACAGGTGGTGGGGGAAAAAAAACAATGGCATTCTGGTTCGGATGGCAATTAAAACACAGACTAACCCCTGTAAATGTTGAAAATACCTTACGACCTCATTAACAATAACCGTCCAAATAGGGCTATTATGTCAACCTTTCTCGCTCATTGTGACAGGTTACCTATGGCACTTCCATATGGAATGCCAAAGCTGACTTAATTAAAAATAAATAAATACATAAATAAATATACAAAGAAATGTAAAAGCAAAAAATACATAAATAAATACATAAATACATATACAAAGAAATGTAAAAAAGTACAAATAAATGAGTATACTTTTATTTCTTATTTATGTATAATTGTATTTTTTCACACATCAATTTTTTTTATTTATACATTTATTTATTCATTTATTTCCACTTTTATGTATTTCCACATTCATTTATGTTTTTATGTCTACATTTGTTTATTCCTAGATTTAATTATTTCTACATTTCTTTCTCCGTAGGCTAATTAGGGGGGCGTGTTTTAACTCAGACATCAGCAATCGAGCTCAGAGTGGCAGTGCTGAAGCTTTGAGGCCATGAATTTATTTATTTTTTAAGTCAGCTTTGGCATTCCATTTAGGTACTTCCATACACACGTCAAAGTTGTAAGAGCAACTGTTCTATATTTACGGATATAATGAGACGCATACGGGCACGTGACGTGTACGCATGCAATTTTCCACAAAAACCATTCTGTCAGGTCTAAAATGTAAACACTTACAACAGGATTACCAGAGTGAATCAGGGTAAGACAAAAAAACATGTTTTGGAAGAAGGATTGATATACTGACTCCAAAAGTTGCATAATGTACCATTTGTATTCGAAGTTGAGGAATTAATCAAACAGTCTTAATTTATCCATTTCCGTGTTTTCACTCCATTGACATGTCAATGGAGTGAAAACACGGAAATGGATACCTAAAACCTTTGATTGATTGGCTCTCCATGAAATAACACAATGTGTAATACAAACCGCCAAGCATGTCATCAAGTTAAAATGAGGGTATGCAGTCCTGTAAAAGACTGGAATATATATGCGAATGAATTTTGGAGCATAACATTTTTTTTTTTTGTCTAAAAATTCTTTAACTGCACATTTGGCAAAAGTTAAGAATAGTTGTTTAGAAGAGCCTTGTTCATGTACGTTTGGATGGCTTGGATCAAGACCAGCCCAACCGGTTTAAATATGGTGTTGGATTGCTGAAACAGATCTTCTCTTATTTCAGATGCAACAGCAGCTTTATACTAAAGTTCCTGTTATTCACTTCTCTCACAATCAGTTGTGTATGATTACAAATGTATCTAAATGTTTAATTTAGATTTCCAATACAATAGTATTTTATATTAAGTTTATAAATGATGAGACCAGGAAATCTCTGCAAATGGTATGGGTTCCAGTGGGATATTCCTGACTGTCTTGTCTCAGGCCCCGTCCACAGTAGTGCGTTTTCGTTTAAAAACGGAGAATTAAAACAAATACGATCTCCGTCCACACCAGCGTTTTATCTGCGTATTAGATTTGATCTCCGTCCACATTAAAGGGTAACTAAACACCAAAACAACTTTTTTTAGTTAATGATCTGTAAGAATGGAGCTTCATAAATGCTGTTCATTGATTCGAGTACATTTTTTGACAATTGAGTATAAAGTGTTTTGATTTTCAAATATATGGTGTAAAAACGTCTGAGTGCTGCCCTCTTCAGGTTAAACGGAAAGCTCCTGCAGTAGGGGTACTTGCTGACGTAGCGAACTCTCAGACGCGACTCTGTCACACCCTTGGTGCGAGCTCACCACGCCCTTGGCAGCCCCTGGTATAAAAGCATCTGGTTCCGTCAAAACTACTGTAGCGAGTCAGGAGTTGGATTTATGAGTATTGAAAACGATCAGGATAGCATATAATAGCATCTAGTTAGTTAATCCTCTGGGGCCGACAAACGAGCCGGTGCATTTTGCTGGATTTTTTCATATAGCGGCATAATATCAATATGAATATATGCCAGCGTGCGCTATTGAGATCAACTCGACGACATAACTCATCAGATGCCGGTTAAGACCGCAGTTTGAGCCAGCAGCTCGAATGGATTTGGCCCTGTGTCTACATACAATTCACCCTCATCCACTTCAGGTGAAGGTGAGGGAGAAAAGTCCTCGACTTCAAATGGCCGCTCTGTTGCAAAGGCAGCTACTTGAGTCACTCCAGTCTCGCTCTATTTTAGAGTCTGACAGCAGCTGTCACTCACGGCGGGTCTCAGGTGCACGCCCCCTGGCCCCGCTGGGGTCTGCCCATTTTTTCAGCATTTTTCAAATATTGCTAGTGGGTGGAGTCAGACTCTGACCAGGGGTTTAGTTACCCTTTAAAACGACTGAAAATGCGGATCACGTGACCATTCACCAACACTGGGCATGCGCCAGTGTAAACAGGAAATGGATTGACTATTCCTCAGATTTGATGAAGAAGAAAGTAACGTTAGCTATACCTCTGCAAAGATTAGAAATGTCAAAGACCAGAGTTTTCTTTTCATTGACCAACGAAGAGGTTGTTTTTGTATGTTTTTTTCTGGGGACGGGTCATGTGATGGGTGGCTGACGAATCAGGGAAGGACACATCACGACTGATTACACCTAATCATAGAGCCGAGCGTGAGCCTCTGCGTCATCGTTTCTAAAGTCCTCCGGTTTGTCCCGTTTTCACTAAGGCCCTGTTTACACGAGAACGCTCGCGGGTGAAAACTTTAAAAATATTTTATAGGATGTGCCTTTCGTTTACACGGCGACGCCATTTTTGGGGCTTAAAAATGCAAAAAAGTGAAACCACCCTCCAGAGTGGAAATCTTAAAAATGCTCCACCGTCACGTTCCTGTGAAAACGGTAAAAACGAAAAAGTCTGTTTGACAGTGAAGGTTGTACGCAGGCGCGCAGACTTGGTGTTGTTGTGTGGCAGTGCTTCACGTTGCCACCTAGCCTTCTGGAGTGCATACTACATTGAATTTCACACTCTTTTGCGTCACCATATGCACGTGGATTTCCCACCAAAAATGCTCGTCTAAACGCAGAATAAAAAATAATAACGCAATGCCACTTTTGCGTTTTCTCTTCAAAATCGTTTCCGTGTAAATATAGCCTAAAACGCCCTCTCGAGATTCAAAACGCAAAACGGAGTTGCAGCGTTACGAAACTTCTTTGTTTTAGGTCTTCGTTTTTTTTCCCGTCTTAGTCTGGACGGGAAGTGCAAACGTAGCAAAAGGTCTCCGTTTTTAAACGAAAACGCAATACTACTGCGTTTTCGTTTAAAAGCGGAGAATTAAAACGAATACGATCTCCGTCCACACCAGCGTTTTATCTGCGTATTAGAAATGATCTCCGTCCACATTAAAACGACTGAAAACGCTGATCACGTGACCATTCACCAACACTGGGCATGCGCGTGCCGGTGTAAAAAGTGATTGACGAATCAGGGAAGGATACGTCATGACTGATAACACCCAATCATGGAGCCAAGCGTCAGCCCCTGTTTCAGCGTTTCTGAAGTCCTACGTTTTGTCCCTTCTACACTAAAACGCCCTCCGTAGATTCAAAACGCAAAACGGGCAAAACTGCAGCGTTTCTAAACTTCTCCGTATTAGGTCTTCGTTTTTCCCGTTTTAGTCTGGACGGGAGGTGCAAATGTAGCAAAAAAGCCCTAGTGTGGACGGGGCCTCAGTGTGAGAAGTCCTACACTGTCCTGTTCTCATGCTCAGCAAATCCCAAAAATCCCTCCCCGTTTGAAATGTATATAAACACAATTTAAAGTTCCCTTAGTTAGACTTTAGTACAACCGAGTCTCCTGGTCTGAACCTCTCAGTTCCTACACTTTAGAAGAAAAAGATTTTCTACAGTTGCTTAATGTAGTCTATTAATAGCACATCCTTGTTGAGTTGTTACAGTGAGCTGCATGCCAGCAAAACATTCCTGATCAGCTGTTTTCATGAAGACACAATTGTGCTCTTTATTGTGCACTTAAGGATCTAAAAGTGCATCTAATGACTTCCTTCTCCTCCACCAGTTTTAGTTTTCAAAGATTTCAAGCTTTCCAGTTTCAGATTTTCACAAAAGAAGAACCAGGCTCACTCAACTGCTATTTTTGTATTTTTCTTTTCGTCTGGTTTTTCTTCTGACTGTGTTGTTTAGAGTGTTAAATTGTCATTTTTAATAATGATACAGATTCTGAGTAATAATAAATCAATAATTTAAATAATAATAATATCCTTTTCATGCCCTTAATTGTTGTGTAAGTTACACAAAGCAGAACCTATCAAATAGATATGTGTGATGAGCTTATCTTGTTTTGTTTTTTTTTGTATTGAAGGTGCAATCTGACTTTTGGCTGACGTTTAAAGAAAACCGGTGTAGAAGAAGGAAGTGATGAATAAAAATCCCCTTGTTTTCTTTTTCTTTTACCGTACTCATTTTAGTAGTCACAAACACCCACAACCATTTCCAGTTGTTCTGCATGGTCAAGTGTGTGTATTATCAAAATATATTCTTTACGCAGTAAGAACTTTCGATTTCTTCAGAATTATCTTACAAACTGTAAAAAATCCCATTGCTGAGAATTGATGACTTCACCATTAGATTAGATTCACTTGTGTTGAATCCTAAATAAAGAGCAAAGATGTTTTGTCTTAAAGGGGTAGTTGAACCAAAAATCTAAATTTTGTAATTTAGTCACTCTCACGTTCCAAACCTGTATTTAGTTTATATAGTTTAATATTGCGTTTTGAGAGCGTTAGGGCTGATATGAGAGGAGCAAGAAAGTGAAACTTTGCACATCCAAATACTTATTATTCCAAATAATAGAATTGTGACCGAATTCTAACCCCATAGTAAAACGCTAGAATTAGGAAGGTGATAGTGGAAGTACTTTGTTCCTCATCTTGGTAAAAAGAGCAGAGTGGGAAAATATTTAGGTTGTATTTACTTAAATATAGGGTAATAATGAGGAACACATTTAAAAATTGCCTTCTTTTATTTTATTATTAAACAGCATTTGCACTCTCCATGTATATAGAAAGTGTAGGCTACATCTTCATCTTGTGGTCGTGGTAGGAGGAAGGAAGTGACGTGATATCTGCGCGTCTGTGCGCGTACGTGCCAGTTCTTATACCGTCTATGGTTTCGCTCATGGTGGTTTCATCCTCACTGCCGGCGGCCGAGCACTTAAGAACATTCAGGACATTACTTTAGCAAGTAAGTACTGACATTTAAACAACACACATAAGAAGAAACGTTCATTTACAGCACCGGTTTTCTCACGTAAAGGATTTTGCTCTAAAATAAGCCACTACGCGCCATCTTTTAATGAATTAGCAGAATGGCTGACAGCTCGCTGTCATTGAACTTCATGGCATGCTTTGGGCGGAAATACAGACCTACAATTGAAATGTAAGCGTATAATATACAACAATAAAAAGGTCCCACTTGGCATAACATCTGAATTGAATATTAATTTGTGCTTAAGTTTGTTTTCTAATTATTATTTCTCTAGAACATATATGTAACGTTATTACATTTCCGCGCCACGAGCACGTGGGGATTGGGCAGGAAGTGCAAGTAACATCTTTGACCTTCAAGTGTTCTGTAAAGAGCGTTTTAGCCTTTTCTTATATGAAATTAATGACTACTTTACAGACAGTGAAAATAATTAACTTCTATTGCTATTCGTCTTTGCTGCATGTGCTGTAATAAGGAACTTCCTTGTACTTCCAACCTCCATATCAATGTCTGATGCAGGTTGTGACTCTCACATGTCTTGAAGGATAATATCTTCATGCTTCCATGTCTAATTGAGCTTAAATTGCATTTATGCTGGAAGGGATAAAAAACAATAAGGTGTCTTTTCCCCCCTACTCATTGGACTGACCTGTTGATTACCTTTGCTGGATGAATACATAAATTGGATTTAGAATAGAGAGGAGATTGTAATTTCAGTTTTTTATTTTATATTAAACCCGCTTTATACTCTTTATAAGGTTGTTGAAATGTGATGAATGCCGTTTTGCTCTCAAGAACCTTGAAATATCATTGCCGATAGTATAGGCATCACCATGGACACTAAGACAATGGTTGGATTGGGTTTGGCTTAACATTTAGGCCTATTTAGGAGATGGTCCTCACTGCAGAACACAAAATCTTTACATATACCTAATCAGTCCCATCTCCGTCCATCCAACTCCACCCTCTGTATCTCAGGTACTGCGCAATGAGGTGTTACTGCTATTTAGGAGTGTCCTAACTGATTCGTTGGCTCTTTAGCTTTTTTGCTTTCAGTCTGAACTCCTTCCTTTGAAACTGCATGCAGTTATTGCTAAACACTGGTGACAGTTGGTGGTTGAATTAGCAGGAAGATATTCTAACCACTTGCAACCAACTTAGTTCCTGGTTCCTTCCAAAAAAATGTGTAGATTCAATGCAGAACATTGATATAATAAACCTCATAACCACAAACATTATTGGGAAGTATGTCCTGAAACAAAGGTTTTTACCCACAAAAGCCATAGTTTTTAGACATTTTAAATTTCAGACATTTACATTTTGGCTCTAATTTTTCTGTCATTGTTTGTTTATCTGGATAGTTGCTGTTTAATATACAAATTTAAATCTTAAACCAATACACACGCACACTAGTCTATTTTTCTTTTACATTTCTCCTCTGCCCTAATCTAGCTGCAGAAACCTGGCATTGTATACTATGCATTTTTTCAGATTTTATGCGAATATCTTATTTGTCTGTTGCAAGATGCTTTTGGTAAAGCAAATCACTAAATGCGTTAAAGTAATTTTGTATTTTTCCATCTGTATTTGTCACTTTTCCTTTAGTTTGTTTAAATGGGTTATATTGGGCAACTAGATTTAAACTAAACATAGTATTTCACAATTAGTTAATGTTTGTGGTGCACGTCACATTATCAACATTATATCATCGCCATATTGATTCCTATCACTGCTTTAACTAGCTCTGGAGCCGGAGTAGAGGGCGGCTCTGGGTTTTGGATGCTGTTCAACGAATCAAAAGACTTGTCCTTTTTTCAGTGGATAAAAAAATGTTTGGACTTTGAACAAGCAGGGCTGTTATTATGAATTCGGAGACTTTAAAAAGGGCTCTTTGTCTGATCTTGTGAGAAACTTCGTTGCCAGAGATATATCTCTTCCTTTTCAGATTCCATGGCAGGACCAATTGACCAAGCCAAAATGAAGTTTTCGAGAATAGTAAGTTCTGTATTGTACAAACTTGTTGACTTTTGTGTATTTCTCTGGAATTTGAAGCTTAATTATTTTCCCCCTTTTAACAGGTAAACAGTCGCTCATACACCCGGTTCAGTCAGTCTCAGAATCCTGATGGAGACAGCAGTCGTGTGGTGGTGAAACTCTCTGTGGAAGGTGAGGAGGAGGAGGAAATGGATGGTACAGAACAAGGACACGTGCAACGTGACGAGTACATGAGATCCAGTGTTTCTCCGCCATTGAACAAATGGAGGATTCTGGTTTGCGTCGGTCTAATACTGACTGTCCTCTGTGTGGGTGAGTGTTTTTGTAGTTTATTCAGTTCTTTACCATATCCTAATATGTCATTAAATATCATTCAGTCATTAATAAAGAAAAATACACTAGCACCCTTTGGTCAGTTTAACACCTTTATAATGATCATTTTAGTTCTACATCAGTATATCTGGTAAATGTAAATGACTGTTTATGTAAATATAAATCAATATGAACATATTGATTTAATATATGAAGAGTTCAGATGCAAAAGCCTCTAAATGCCATTTGAAATTTTCTTCTAAAATGACCATTTTTATCAAGCTTGTGTATTTAAGTTCAGTAATTTCACTTAAATGGCAATTAATAGGTAATCTTCATTGCCATTTAAGTGAAATTACTGAGCTTAAATATACAAGCTTGATAAAAATGATCATTTTAGAAGAAAATTTCAAATGGCACTTAGAGGATTTTGCATCTGAACTCTTCATATCATTTGTGAATAGCGATATAAATTTGTTGCCAGGGACGATGGTCAGTTCAGTACAAAAATGCTTGACCCATAATGCTGTGTGAGTGACCAATCAAAATTAATGTTTTCAGAGAGCCATGTATTAAGTAATTATTCTTCTCAGTTTTTGTGAGTCTCACTTGTTTCTTTTTCTCTCTTTTTTTTTTTCTCCTGCCAGGTATACTGATTGGATACTCTGTCAACCGTAAGTCTGAGTCGCCTTCCTGCCTTTTGGAAAACTCTAAAGTTCAAGAAAATCAAGATGTTAATTATGATCCCCCTGCACCCTCTATGGATTGGAGTGACATTGTTCAACTTCTGAATGATAAACTGTCATCTGAAAACATCAATAAAATATTAAGGTATCTTTAAATCATGAAAATGGTAACACTTAAGTTTAGGATACAATTGTCACTTTTAACTTGCTTATTAGCAAACATTTGACTAGGATATTGGTTGTTTATTACTACTTCTAAAGCACCTATTAATGCATTCTACATCACTAATCCTACCCAATTTGACAATAAAACAACTGATAAATAGGACTGGATATTGATTCAGATGTTCAAATTCAATTAATTGAAAAATATATATATTTTCCCCAGCCCTAATAATAATCAGTACTTAGAGTTTGAGGCAAAAGTTGGAGTTAAAAGTGAGAAGAATTGGACCCTAATCTAAAATGTTACCTTGAATATTATTGATCATTGTATGCATTATCAGTTTTAACATTAACACAATTGAGAATGAGTAAATGTACACATCTGCTATTGTTCTTTTTTGACTTTGCATTGTTTCCCCATCAAGCGAGAATTACCAGAATGGCACTCAGGCAGGATCACCTTTAGATAGCATGTTAGGTGACAAAATCCATAATCTTTTCACGCAACTGAAAATGGACACCTGGGTTGATGAGCACTTTGTGAAGCTACAGTATTCTAACAGGTCAGTAGGCTCTCCAGAAACGATAAAAGAAACCACTCTGCAGCCAGCAAGTATACTCTGGCAACATCATAGCAGTTAGTAGCTGCAGTCATAGTTATTCCATCTTCCTTTGGTTGCGCTGTTTGTAATCTGGACTGTTTTTTACCCTAAAAGCACCAATCCAAACAAAGTGTGGTTTGGATCAGAGGAGATCGGAAGTCCAAAGGGGTTCCTGGCTTACAGTGAAACGGGACGTAAAGAGGTGAGCATTCATCTGCCTCCTCAGGAAACACTTGACATTCTTTCTTTCTTTCTTGTTTTGCTTCCTTTGTCAGTATGCTTTGTCATGTAGTTGTCCCATGACTTGCATTCTTAATTATTTCCTCAAACAATTACATTCACAGGGCAGAGTGGTGTACGCCAACTTTGGTGAGCTTTCTGACCTGCAGAATCTGCAGAACGAATTCAAAGTGAATCTAAGTGGCTTTGTCGTACTGATGAGAGCTGGAGGTATCAGCATGGCACAGAAGGTGACACCCAAGGAGCAGATCAATACGTTCATTTTCTTTCTGAACTATTAGTGTTTTGCTAGAAAATCATGGTCAAATGTGGAACTCCATTAACCGTAACAGTCTATTAATAGTAACATACTTTTTGCTAGTGCTGATCAAAATATGTTTGTCACCATTTTAGGTTATGAATGCCGCTAAGATGGGTGCAGTAGCAGCTCTGATCTTCACAGACCAGCTTGACGATGATACTGAGCTCTTTGGTCATGTAAGTTATGCAGAAGAATGAAATTCATATGGTTGTGTTGACTGTTTTGCTATTACAACTTCTTTAATTTAAATAAATATTTGTTTCAAATGGAAAGACTAATTAAATTAATTTATTTTATAATAAAAGTTTTAATAATATATGTTTTTTTAGATAATGGCAAAGGCAATCTAAATTGCCTGTTAAATGTTGACTTTTACAATACATTAAAAATCAGTAACAGTGATGGTTTGAAGTGAATTTCAAAAAGGAATTGAGCAAGTGAAATTATAAATGTATTTTATTTATTGTTTTTGCTGTTTATTCATTCACTCTGTTCATTAATTTCAGGTTCACCTCGGATCAGGTGATCCTTACACCCCAGGATTCCCTTCTTTTAATCACACACAGTTTCCTCCAGTCAAGTCCTCTGGTCTTCCAGGAATTCTCGCCCAGACGATTACTAATAAAATGGCCAAAAAAATCTTAGCGTGCGTTTAGTTTTGGTTTACCTTGATAATTGTTTAAAAAAAATATTTGTCCATAAACATACAAATTAATTGGTATTCTTTGATTTCTCACAGAAATATGGTAGTAAGCAGTTCTACTAAAAATTCAAATGACCCCTCCCATTACAAGTTGGGACTAGAAAAAGACAACGTAACCGTAGCTGTCTATAATAACCTTGTTGACACCAAGATCCATAACGTGTTTGGAGTCATCAAAGGATACATTGACCCTGGTGAGTTTCTACATTTTGCTTAAGTCTAGGGATCTGAACGTCTCCAGTCTCATTGTGGTTGTCTAAATCCGTCAGATCGCTATGTCGTGATTGGAGCGCAGAGGGACTCCCTGAGCTGTGGATATGCCAAGTCTACAGTTGGCACTACTCTTCTGATGGAGCTTGCAAGGGTTTTCACAGAGTTGAAGAAAGGTATGTTCTTCTCTACCTGTGTTCAAATTTAGTTTGTGGCATGCGTTCACTCCTTGTCCTCTTCACCTTAGACGGTTTCAAACCTAAAAGAAGCATTGTGTTTGCCAGCTGGACTGCAGGGGATTTTGGTAACGTCGGAGTTACTGAATGGCTTGAGGTTTGTGCCAAAGTCATCTGTGCTTGGCAATAAGTGTAAGCAGTTTGTTGTAAAGCTCAGTTATGGTTTTGTAACGTTGTTTCTTCTGTGTTAAACAGGGATACTGGGCATCACTGGACAGGAAAGCCTTTGCCTACATCAGTTTGGATGGGGTTGTTGCTGGTAAGTAGTATACTGAGTGCAAGTGATCATAGTTGATTTTTATAGCCTTGTGTTCACCCAATTACAAACGTTTTTATTTATTTATTATTATATTATATCAGGATACCTTAATAATGTGTTTCAGTTCCATGTTTGGTACAATTTCACTGGATGGCCATATATCTTTACACCGCTAGATGGGGGTAAAAATCACACAGTGTAGCTTTAAATATCTCTATTATGCCTTTTTCTGAATAGCATGCATTTCTGTAAACCGTTAATTCAACACTTCCATATTAGTGGAAGTTCCAAGATGGTTGATTTTGTGGTAAAAACACATATTGGAAGAGATATATTGCAGTTATATCACCTAATGGACATTAGTACCTATGCACCGGAGGAAGTCTGTGGTGCTCATGTGGCGGACAAGTTCAAGTTCCACTAGTGTAATTTGTAGGTTCTTTCCCTACTCTTCTTCATATCCTTTAAACATGAAATGTTTCTATTTAATCATCAGGTAAGGGCTCCTTTAGAGCTTCTGCCAGTCCTTTGTTGCACACCCTTCTGCAGAAGACCCTGCAAAAAGTCAAAAACGTTGGGTCAAGTTCAAGCCTTCTTCAGAGTTACGGTGGTAGTTTGTCACCTCTGTGAGTAAATCTGCTTTGAGTTTTGTTATAATGGATCAAAGCATCAACATAATCGTGACTGTTTCTGTGGTGAAATGCCATGCACATGCCCCTTAATCAGTTGTCATTTTATGCTCAGTCTGACGTCCATGCAGATGGATGATGCTGCATATCCTGTCCTGGCCTTTTCTGGAATCCCATCTGTGTCTTTTAGTTTCGTCTCTAATGTAAGTCTTGTTTTTAATTTTTTATTAGTCTGTCAATGTAACTATTAAAAAAATGAATGAATTGATAAATTAATCATTGCGCCTGAACTTACTTAAGTTCCTCAAAGACATTTTCTTATTATTCAAGCTCACAACCTTAAGAGACTGATGTGTTCCTCTGTTCGTAAAGGTCATCCGAATGTTTGCATACTCATTTTATGATTTCTTTCACCAGGGCGCTGCTGACTACAAGTATTTTGGGACCGATTCTGATAATAAAAACCAACTGGATCTTGTCACGAATAACACAGTGGTTAATATGTCCTTGGTTGCTGCTCAGGTCGCTGGGCAGATGGCCCTCCGTCTCGTTCATGACCACATTCTCAAACTTGACTTTACCACGTATGGCACCGTGATCACAAATCACGTGAGCGCTATCATCAATCGTGTTAACATTCTCAAAGCTGACAAGGTAATGCTTTTTGTCATATACATAATGTTTTTGCTCTGCTGCTTTACTTTAATCGGAAAATAACATGTTTCTCAAAATTTCTTATAACAGGTCAATAAAATTGAGTCTTTGTCAACCAAGTGGCTGATCGCAGCAAAGAGCTCCTATAGCCGTGCCGCAGACTCTCTAGCTATTGACATCCAGGGCAGCGACCTGAATGACATCGAGATGTGTCGCATAATCAATAACCGCATAATGAGGGTAAAGTTATTTTCTTGGCTTTTCTAGGCGCATCTTGTATAATTGATTGATGAATATTGGCCAAGTTCTCATGTTCTTGTCATTTTCTTCCTCTTTTAAGGTGGAGCATAATCTTCTGTCACCTTACATCTCTTTGAGAGAGATCCCGTTCCGCCACGTTTTCTTTGGTAATGGGTGGCAAACCGCCACAGACCTGGAAAAGTACCTGGATGATGTGCATGCAAACAAAACAAGCTTCGACATAGACCAGGTCCTAAACAAGTTTGCTCTACTCACCTGGACCATCCAGGGCTGTGCCAATGACCTAGCTGGAGATATCTGGTCCTTAGACAACGAGATATAGATATATAACAACCAACCTGACATCGGTTTTGCTTCAATGTGCTTTTCGATACACACAAATAATCCTGCCACTGTGGAAGTAGATTTGATTTGGAACGATGAATTTTGGCCAAAATACTTCAAAATGTATGATAGGGCAGCTTTAAGTTAAATTGTGGAAGTTCTTTAAACATTAAGAACTAATTATTATTGAGATAATAAATTATATAGATATCTTTCTTAATGTATTACGATTATAATTATGATTATTATTAGTGCTGGACTAAGGATAAATGATACAATATTTGTTCTTCTGCTAACTGATTTTAGGGTGCTTTGCAAGTTCTAGTTAAAGATGTTTTTCCTCATCCGTGACTCGTTATCAAGTTGCATGTGGAGTAAACCTCGTTCTCAGCTGCTACTTGGGGATTTTTGTCCTTTTTGCACTTCATGTAAAACCCCCAAACAGCCTTTGTGACCAACTGAGGACCATACTATATTTATTTCTTATTTATTTATCAGTGACAGTGTTCACTATAAAAGTGTCTTTTTTTTTTTTTAATTATCGGAAGCAGTGTCTTCCATAATTGTGACGGTTATACTGTCAGTTCTTAAAAGCAGCATCTGCTAACAGAAATGCATGTTACCAACAGCTTGTATCAGAAATGTCTCTTGTTACAGGTGCTTGAGGAAATAAGCTCAAAAGCACCCGTTTTATTACTCACGGAGCAGTTCCTCTTCTTTAAAAAAAAAAAAATTTTTTTTTTTGAAGAAAAGCCCTAATTTGGTAAAACTGAAACCAGAAAATAATAGTTTGGGCTGTTGAGTGAAGATTTTTTAAATGGGTTTTCAGATCATCTCATATTAAAAAAAAATTTACTTTTAGTTCTAGTTGGTCTGAAACAAATGAATTGGCAAAGCAGGTTTCCATTTTGACCAAACTCGTGGGCTCAAGCATTAAAGTGACAACAGCATTTGTTGTAACATTTATATTTCTATTCTAAAACCATTATCGGGAGCAGTGTCTTCCATAATGTAGAGTGTTTGAAGGTAGTTTTTGCCTACCGGTGTGTATATATCGAGGGCAGTGATCCTCATATTTCACTGTAGGGTGGATCAAATTATCGGGAACAGTGTTTCCCATAGTTTATGAAAATTTTTAATTTTTCATTATCGTCACGTTTTTTGTGTGGCTTTTTCTGCTTTGTTACTATTAATAACTTTAGAATACTTTTGAATTTGTGAGTTACATCTAGTCGTGGCTTTTGTTTATCAGAGTCAGATTCTTTTCAGTGTTTTATTGGGTTACTGTTTCAGATTTCACTTTTCTGGTCTGATTTCTCTCAGATTTGAGCTTTTTGGTTGGGTATTCCTGTACTTTATTTCTGTTATTTTTCTAAGACGGGTGTTAGGAAAGAGGGTGTGTTCATATTGCTCAATGAATTAAAAATGATGAATGACTGATTAGCTTACTGCTGATTTTACGCAATGGTTTCATGTTTGAAGGCACTTCTGACAACGTTTGGTGGACACTTTTTGCAAGTTATGCATAATATTCTGAAACTGTCTTTTCTCCTCTTTGTGGCACTTACCAGAAACAGAAATTGTTTGATATTTCATAGCGTGTAAAAATGTGCATGGATCAAATCTTAATTGACCTTTTATTTAGACAAGTGGGAATGATTTACTAAATTTATGTTTATCAAAATAAATAGCAGGGAAGTTAAAATTGATTGTTTTGAATATATCCGGATGTGTTGGGGTCACAACCAAATTGTTAATTGTTAGAACTGACATCTGTCAAATGTCAACCTTAATTTTCTCTGTAATAAACTCTGGCATTGTATGTTAACTGCTGTGTAAGACTTTATTGTTTTCTTACCTCTCAAGACATAAAACAGATCTGTAGGGAAAAACATTGAACATGGCTGATGGGGACAAACATTTGTGTTTGTATTTGTTCAACTGTGAGGGCCAACATTATGGAAAAAAAAAATGTTATCATCATAGGGTGTAATTATCACCGGTTTAGTTTATAAAATAAATAAAATTTAATTTAATAAATAATTAATAAAATAAATAATTAAATGTCTGTGTGTCAATTGGTGGTCCTCGCTATCAATTGGAGCAAATATGCTAAGGGAGTGGAAAATCCCCATAATGTACCATGAAAACCAGTAAGTGCTGACTGTTCACTGATCATGAGGTCAGTAACAAAATTACACTAGGACATCATTTGACGATGTTCTAGTAAATTACCTTAGAATGTGCTGCAACTAAAACATTGTAGTCCCCAATCACATGTTGAAATGCCACATGTTTATATTAGGTCTTAATTATATTTAGCTTAGTTTGAGAACCACATTAAGGTTCTCATAAAGATACAAACGCCCCCGCGCGCTCGTCTGCGTAAAAAGCGCTGTCGCTTTAAGAAAGAGATGCAATCCTTGTTGTAACGAGGGGGAAGAAGGATTACGGCCGCTGAGCAGCTTATTCTCTTTTTTTAAAACGACTATTTAAGTGGTAAGTGAATCATTTGGCAGTATTGTCTGTTTTGAAATATAATTCACTCAAAGCTACATAAATGTGAGCTCGGACTGCGACACTGATCAATACAGGTACCTCTGCGCTAACCATCCTGATGATGACTGACTCCATCACAGAGCATGTGATCAGAATGGATAACACCGCTGATGCCTATTTGCTTTAACTTAACTGTCTATTTATAAAGAGGTTACTAACGCTTGTTTGAATCATCTTGTTATGTCCGCCTCTATCTGAAATAAAGAAGACAGTGGCTGTGTCTCAAAACCTAACGTGCTGTCTAGCTAGACCACACTGATGGGCCTGAGGCGAAGACTCGAAATGCTGTCCAGATGGGAAACTCAAATCTTTTTATATAGTTCCTTTTGGACCAGCTGTCCGGCTTATGATTTACATTCCTATTCGATCTAAGCTAAATTTATTATAAAATGTAATAATTTAAAAAAATAAACCACAAGATGCAGTGCATTAATACCACGGACGGTATGGTGTTCTTTAGCACGACTTAAAACGACAAAACGCAACTGTTCAATATAATAGTAACAACAACCTATTAATAATTCTGTCACAAACAATAAACAATTATTGTAATATTATAATCTAATTATCCCAACTATCCAGTTGCAAAGGATAGAATTCAACTTGTCACAGATTCATATCAGGGTTATATTTTACTTACTGTTAACTAAATTGTTACATGAAATAAAATAAATGCTAACTGAAAAACAAAATAGTAAACTTATTTTATTTGAGCTGTAATAAAATTCCAAAGCAACATTTGTCATTTTCATTTAGTTTAACTGATGTTAAATACACATTGTAACAAGGTTATAAAAGCTCACTATTACTCATCTCTGCATATGTAAATCTGTTTTGCAGTTTGACGTTGAGTAGTCGGAAGCGGCCTTGATTTGGCTCATATGTGCCTGGCATGGCCTTGTCAAACACTGGACCGCCAGAGGACCGTCCCTGACATCCTCTAGTGGATATTTTCTGGCCTAAAGCTTGGTAAGACCACTTCTAGATATCAATTCACCATAAATGCCTTGCTGGATAAAAGCTAAACTCTAAACTTAGAATGTCCTGAATAAAAGACTGAATTGTTAAATAGGTTATGACATATTTAGAATATTGTTTCTTTGTGCTGTACCTCTTTATAAGATCTATCTATCTATCTATCTATCTATCTATCTATCTATCTATCTATCTATCTATCTATCTATCTATCTATCTATCTATCTATCTATCTATCTATCTATCTATCTATCTATCTATCTATCTATCTATCTATCTATCTATCTATCTATCTATCTATCTATCTATCTATCTATCTATCTATCTATCTATCTATCTATCTATCTATCTATCTATCTATCTATCTATCTATCTATCTATTTGTGCGTATGGGAGCTCTAGAAGGGAAAGAGATGCCATATGGCATTCTGTCTGCTCCTCTTAGTCATGCTCTAGTTGCCAAGGGTTAAAGCGTCATTGTCACTGTCACACTCAGTGGATGATTTATGATGGTTGACGTGTTTCGTTAAAAAGTGTGACTTAATATGTTTTATGCACGTGCGTGGGCTGTTTTAACTCAAGGTGTTTAGGCAACATTCTCATTCACATTCTCTCTACACCTTTCCCCCCTTTCTCTCTTTCGCACTGCGAGGCTGCATATTTCATCAGTTGTGAATGGGTAAATATGTCCTGATTTACTGCTCCATAAGTGGATGTACATTTTCCCAATTGAATCAATGAAGTTTTGACACCCTTTTTGTCTCTCTCTCTATATATTACACGGCTCTCTGGAATACTTGATTCTTATTGGTCAGTCAGCTAAATCTGTGTTATGTCAGGGCATATTTATGTAAGATCACTGCAGAACTACATAATAGACTATCTATCTATCTATCTATCTATCTATCTATCTATCTATCTATCTATCTATCTATCTATCTATCTATCTATCTATCTATCTATCTATCATCTATCTATCTATCTATCTATCTATATCTGTCTGTCTGTCTGTACGTCTGTATGTACATCTGTCCGTTATAGTGTACATACTCTGGCATGTAGTGTGTTGACACTTTTGTGAGTTTGAATCCGGCTAGAGACGTTTCCTAATCCTATTTCAGTAATTTCCTGTCACTATAAAAATGGCCACAAATAAAACAAAGGATTTGTATTTTGTACAATGATGTTGACACATCAATATAACCTTTTTTCTTTTTTCTTTTTTGTGGGCGAGGTTAAGCTGTGCGACGTTGTGCACATTTTGTTTTGTACTGCAATACTGCTTAAGGATTGTGTCTTGCGGTCTGCCTCACTCGTACTGCATCTCGCAGTGACTCAGCAAGAGAAAGCTAAAAAAAAAAAAACGAATATGGAAATGCTTTACCGTTAACAAGCTGTGACCTTTTTATTCATCTGACTGAGACATAAGGAGATGAGACAGAAGATGGATCTTGACTTGTTTGGGAAACAGGACAGGACTGCAATGAACTGGATTTAAGGCACTGTGCGCACTGATTCAGGGTGGGAATAATAAGTCTCAGGAGGCTGGGCAGAGTTTTTGCAACATAAAACACAGTTTCACATGAGACTGCAACTATTTTTTCAACGAAGAATCAGATTACGCATGCTATTCTTGACTTTAGCTTACAAAAGAGAGCTTCATGTTGCGGCTGATGGGAAGAAGAAGAAATCAAACAAATATATCTTGCAGATTAGAGGAGACGCTTGACAGTTTACTGTGAAAACAGGACACACCCCGAGGGAGTGCAGTTCACTCATACACACACTCCCTGAAAGCACTGCTTTCCATGGTCAAATGGCGGCAGTCTCAGACTACCAGCGACACTATAATGTGAAGGACGAGGTAAAAGATGCTGTGTACGGTTTCCTCTACAGAGCAATAAAATGTATTTTTGTTTTGTTTTCGAGGACATTTCCTTAAACTAACAAATTTACTTGAATTGTGGAGGATAATATTGTTTATGCTTATGTTGTGTGTGTGCAGCCGGACGGTGAAGACATGCAGTCTGACGAGGGTACGGAGTGGCTCATGGAGCTGCTCACTGATGTGCAGCTCCAGCAGTATTTTCTGCGTATCCGTGACGACCTCAATGTCACACGTCTCTCACACTTTGACTATGTCAAAAATGAGGACCTTGAAAAGATCGGCATGGGCCGCCCAGGTGAGTGGGGTTGCATGTGTTTTATCTGTGTGAGAGGAGTTTTGAATGTTGGAAGAATTCATTCAATTATTATTAAATTATAATAAATATAATATAATATAAATATATTATTATATAATAAGACGAGGTGATATTATATTATATTATATTATATTATATTATATTATATTATATTATATTATATTATATTATATTATATTATATTATATTATATTATTCATCCCTCTCTGGCTCCGCAGGTCAGAGACGGCTGTGGGAGGCAGTGAAAAGGAGAAGGGCCATGTGCAAACGGAAGTCATGGATGAGCAAGGTATGGTGTGGATCCTGAAAAGAAAAATGGCAATATTATATATATATATATATATATATATATATATATATATATATATATATATATATATATACACATACACACACACACACACGCACACATACATATAATATTTAAGTGTTATTTTAGTTTTACTATATGACTGGCTACTTTTATATAACTATAAATATAACAAATTATTATTATTATTATTATTATTATTTTAGTTTTAGTTTAGTTTTTATTATAATTTTATTTATTTTTTAAATTAGTGAAAAATTAACATTTTTAATTTCAGTTTTAGGTTTTAGTACTTTTTAGTTTTAATATTTTTACAGTTAATAACTTAAACTTAATTCAGTTTATTTATTACCAAGGCAACATTTAATTATTTTGTTTCAGCTTCATTTCAATTATCAGAATTATTATTATATATATATATATATATTAGGGCTGTCAAACGATTAATCGCATCCAAAATAAAAGTTTGTGTTTACATAATATATGTGGGTGTATATATATAAATACACATACATACATGTATATTTAAGAAAAAAATATTATAAAATATTTATATCTATATATAATATAGATTATATATAAATCTATATACAGTATATACCTGAAAATATTTCTTAAATATATACAAGCATGTGTGTGTATTTATATATATAAATTAATTACACACAGTGCACCCACATATATTATGTAAACACAAACTTCTATTTTTAATAATTAAGATTCACATAGATTATCACTGATGTCTGCCAGGTTTATAAATGACACCTCTCACTGTGTGAAAATCTACTGCATCTTGGAGTGAGAGGCAGGTGGAATCACCCTCAGCCGTAGTCTCTGTGTTTGGGCCAGCAGGTGTTCACCGGGAAGCGTCCTGACTCCGATTCCCAGACTCCAGCGGTGTTCCGCAGCTCATCCCCATCATCAGCTCAACCAGACGGTCAGCCAGCCGATCTCACCTGCCTCATCAGTGACAGAGACCTCACCCTCTACGAGAAACTGGGAGACGGATCCTTCGGAGTGGTGAAACGTGGAGAATGGCAAGCCCCCTCTGGAAGAGTGGTAAGAGGGAAAGAAGATAAACATCTCCAGTAATGATTAGGTATCCATATGCAAAATGAATATAATGCATAGAGTTTCTTCCTGTGCTGTAGCTGAGTGTGGCTGTAAAGTGCCTGAAGACAGACCTGTTGGACCAGCAGGGTGAAGGTCTAGATGACTTCATAAGGGAAGTTAATGCCATGCACTCCCTGGACCACCACAATCTCATTCGTCTATATGGTGTTGTCCTCACACACCCCATGAAGATGGTGAGGATTGAAAATTGAAGTTTCATTGTGTCTTTAAAAAAAACAACTATATTCCTAAATGGGCCATTCTACAGAATTGGTTCAAAGTCAGAGTTGGAAACGTCTTGAAAAAAATCTTTGTTCCATGGTTCAAATCTTTTTCCACAAAAGTTGTATGTATGCAAATTGTATAATATTCAAGGTACACATTTCTAATAATTGTGCAGTTAATTATCATATTGTATTTTCAGAAAGTTTTGGAATATTTTTCCTCTCCCCAAACTTGTCACTACCGCAACACAATAATAATAAGTACTTAATAAGAAGTCTTATATTTACCTATTCATATTTTGTTTACATTTACCTTATTTAAAACTTTTATTTAAAAAAAACGTTTTCACAGGTAAATCAATAACTATTACAATTTTAACAATATTTAAAATATAATTGAGACAATTTGTTATCTATTTGTGTTTTTAACACATTTCCCTCAAAATGATGGTACCTACAGTATTTGCAATGAAAGAGGCTATGATGAGAGAGAGGGACACAGGAATATTTCCTGAGGGGTGTCGTTTAAAATCAGTCTCAGCCAAATTGACTAAACACACACTGTTACGGTAGTGACATGAAAACATGACAGGACACATTTTTTTACATAAAGTTTCATAATTTAAAAATAAAATATAGAATAAATGTTTGTTTCTTTTTTAACTTCACTTTTTAAAAGAAAATGGACTTTTTAAAGGAAAAAAATATTTCAATAACATTTTCACAAGTTGAAGTGGTTAGGGTTCGGGACAGTCACCTCCCAACTGAAAGTACCCAATAAATGATGATTTTTAATATATATTAAGCTAATTGATATTTTAAATATTATTGTGGGATTCAGTAGATAATCTACGTAATACTAAGAATCTAAAATTTTAATACTTAAATGCTATTTAAATGTGTTTTTTGGTTGTGGGACAGCAATTTGCACCACTTCTGTAGAATATATAATCTAAAGGTGGACCATATAGTCTACCTTTATGGAATAGCAAACAAACCTAAACCAAATCAAACTGAACTACACTAATACTTTTACTTAGCAAGGACACATTAAATTGGTCAAGTGACATTAAAGACTTACACAAAAATATTTCAAATAGATTTTGGTTTTCTCCAGGAATAAATGACATTTTTAAATATATTAAAATAGAAAACAGTTATATTAAGTTGTAATAATATTTAAAAACATTGTTGCCTTGTTGAGCATTTGAGACTTTTTTTAAAAACCTAAAAAAAAAAAAACTTTACTGACCTCAACTTTTGGTAGTGCAAATGGTTTTTAATTTTTGTGTGAACTACCTGTCTTATTTGTATTTCAGGTGACAGAACTTGCCCCATTGGGTGCTTTGTTGGACCGCCTGAGGAAGCGTCAGGGTCATATATTGATAGCGGTTCTGTGCCACTACGCCGTTCAGATCTCCTGTGGCATGGCGTACCTTGAGTCCCGACGATTCATTCACAGAGACCTGGCTGCACGCAACATCCTGTTAGCCTCCAACGACCTCATCAAGATAGGTGACTTTGGCCTAATGAGGGCCTTGCCTAAAAATGATGATCATTACGTGATGCAGGAGCATCACAAAGTCCCTTTTGCCTGGTGAGAAGAGTTATAGACCACCATCTAATTTGTATTCATTCCCCCAGCCCATGTTGACATCCTCTTGCTTTGCAGGTGTGCTCCAGAGAGCCTGAAGACCCGTACCTTCTCCCATGCCAGTGATACCTGGATGTTTGGAGTAACATTGTGGGAAATGTTCACTCACGGGCAGGAACCATGGGTTGGACTCAATGGTAGTCAGGTATACACACATACCTGACCCTTAACACCTTTTTCTGTAAGTAAAGTCATCTGTGTTGACATCTACTGTATGTGTCCTGTTGCATAGATTCTCCATAAGATCGATAGGGAGGGAGAGAGGCTTATCAAACCGGAGGACTGTCCGCAGGACATTTATAACGTCATGCTGCAGTCCTGGTCGCCCAAACCCGAGGACAGGCCGACATTTGTGTCCCTCAGGGACTTCCTTGTGGAGGTAAGGTCTCGAATAGCAACAGCAGATGGTGATTATACTGGTTAGAATGTCCTTGTATCAAAGTCTTTTTATTGAATCGCACATACACCAGAATGTCAGTATTATTATTGTTTTTTTAATTGACTAAGTCTTTCTAATTAACTTGTAGACAATGCCCACTGACATGAGGGCACTGCAGGACTTTGATGAACCAGACAAACTTAAAATTCATGCCAATGACATCATCACTATCATTGAGGGCAGGTGAGGACATATTTTGCATCAGCCAGGTGTGAGGAACCACTGTATATGTGTCCGCTGTTAACCTACGGCCTAGGAAAAATAGAAAAAAATGTTAAGGTATGCCAAAGTCAGAATTTGATCAATAGATTTAATAAGAAGACAAATTAATTACAATAATTTTATTCTTGACAGTCATTTATGCAAATGACATGAATGTTGAACAGACCAGCCTTGCTGTCTTTAAAAAAAAAATTGTATTGTACTCGGTGTATTTACTCTAGTTATTTTAGTCTGTTTTTACAGCCTCATTTCTGTGCTACAGAGCAGAGAACTATTGGTGGAGAGGTCAGAACAGACAGACTCTAAAGGTGGGACAGTTCCCGAGGAATGTGGTGACCTCTGTGGCGGGTCTGTCTGCTCACGACATCAGCCGACCTCTCAAGCACAGTTTCATCCACACGGGCCATGGAGACACAGATCCACTCCGAAGTTGGGGCACCCCTGACAAGATCGATGAGTAATATTCCATGACCATTTCACTACTGACTTCTTGTTAGGAGACTATGGATTATTTTATCTCTCAGGGAACAGACCGCTTTCCTTGTGTTCACCACTAGAGAGCAGCAATATATTATTTTAAAGCAGTAATTCTCAACCTTTTTGAATCAAAAGCCCTCCGTTGTCCCGAAATACACTATTTCCGGGAATTCTTCAGTAATTATAATAAAGTTTCTTGCTTTTAAACTTTTTTTTAAATGGAAACTTTGAATATTGGTATTTTAATTTATTTTACCTCGATTTATTTTGTGATTTGAAATATTTCAAGAACTGTACCACTGTTTGGCTGAAAGCTAAATGCGTGGCAACTGAAAATGCTAATAGAAAAAAAAAGCAAATGAGGAAAACATTTTCATCAATTTAACAACACGTGCTCCAAACACTCACAACGCAAGCAAATACTCACAAAACACATGATCAGGATGTTAAAATTAACAAAAAACTCACCCTTCAGGTCATCGACAACACCACTGACGAGTGGACATTGAACATTAAGCATGTCTCAAAAATAAATTATTTTATTTTTTATCATAATTTAGGAAATTGCAGTTTATATCTTGATTGTATATGTTTTTAGCATTTTAATTGTAATTATTGTTATATATTCATAGTAATTTGATGATTTAAATACTGTTTAGTCATCTCTGCCCACTTGTGGAGAACCACTGAATGACAGAAAATCCGCAGAGGTGGATTTAGTTATTAACCCAATGTGCTTTGTGTTCAGTTTGTACCTTGGTAATCCCATGGATCCTCCAGATGTTCTTGGGATGGATTCAAATACGGCCAAGCCCACTAAACTTCCAAACCGGGCGAAAAGTAAGCAATTGCTTGATCTTGTGTTGAGCTGGGCTGTTCTGCTCTTCTTCAAGTTCACCTCTTATCTCTTTTTCTCTGTCTTCTTTTATTTCTGACCTTTTCTTACTGTTGTGTCAGAACAACCTCCCCCCAGACCTCCTAAACCAGCAGTTCTACTTAAGAGTAAGAACCATTTCTTTTCCTCTAAGAATCACATGACAAAAACAATTTTCCCCAAAGTTTTTCCTTATGACTTGTTCCCAGAACCATTTTACGACTCTGTGCTGGACAATGATGATGATCTGATAGTGACGGGTGTGAAGAAACTCTCGCTTAAGACTCCCACGTACCTGGGTTTACGCCCCTGGCCTTGGGAAAGCATTAGTCCGAGTGACCGCCTCAGCGAAGTCTCACTCATTGACTTTGGAGACGATAGTTTCAGCTCTACGTCACCCTCACCCATTACCGAGACGCCCAACCCCAGCACAGCGAAACCACCTGCATCCTACGCCGCATCGATCTTAGATATGGCGCCACCGCAAAGCCCCAATCGAGCCCTGCCCAACCCCATGCACCCTACTCCTGTGGTGGATTGGGATACGCGGCCCCTACCTTCTCTTCCGGCATATGACGAAGTTGCCTTGGATAGTGCTGAGCAGGAAGACATGGAAGTGAGCTCCATAAATGCATCTGCGGCGGTGCAGGAAGACACTGTATCTGAACAGACACAATTAGGGGATGACATTAAAGTCGATGGGAAATGCAATGTGGAGGACAACCTCTTTCTACCATTCAAGCATGGGGAGGAATCCCACTCGTTTTCGCAATCAGCAGACATCTTCAAGGAGCTACAACGGGAGGTGATGGTGAAGCTTCGGGTCCCTCCGACCGGACGTTCCCTCCCTTCTTCACCCCTCCCGACTCCTTCAGCTCTCGCCCCGCACCGACAGATCATCCTGCCCTCCTCCTATGAGGACAGGCCTCAAATCCCTCCTAGAATCCCAATCCCACCCATGCGGCCCTCTAAGCGGGCAGGAATATATGGCAGCAGACTGTCGGTTTCTCTTGGAGACCAAGAAGACGTGAGCCGCTGTCCGCCTCAGATACCCCCAAGGGATCACGCTCTATCTCAGCCCAACTCTCGGGCACCGAGCCCTATGGTGCAGCAAGGCGGCTCCCCTCAACAGAGATCCAGCCTCTGTTGCGTCGGATCATTGGGCTCCTGCTTATCCCCGTCGTCCTATTCCTCTGCGCCATCCAGCTCCTCCACCACATCATCTATGTCAACCGCCACCACTGCAAGTTCTCAGTACGGATCTACTGAAGTGGGCCAGGCTCCGGCTAAGAGTCCCTGCATCCTCCCTATCGTGTATGGTGGCGTGAAGGCCAGCAGCACTCATTACTACTTGCTACCTGAGAAACCGGCATACCTGGATAAGTACGAGAGGTTCTTGAAGGACTCAGAGGATAACAATGAGAAAAAAACTACAAATATGGCCACTGTGAGGCCTATGGTTCAACAGCAAGCCAACAAGCTCAGTTCTTCCACCGGACACACTAGTAACAGCGGGACTTCCAACAGTCTGGCCTGGCCGAGCAGCACCCAAGCAGGTGCCTTTAACCGTGTCACGATACAACAAGTAAGCAATTTTTCACCAGAGACTCGCACTCAATGATATCATGGTATTTTGAGATGACGGATTGGTTGTTTCTCTAGGTGCAGGAGGCGGTACATGGAGTGACTGTAGAGGAGTGTCAAACTGCCCTTCAGACGCACAGCTGGAACTTTCAGGAGGCCGTCAAATATTTGAAGGTATCTGTGTGCTTCGTTTCAGACAGAAAAGAGAGAGAGGTGCTCATGGATGATGAAAGATCGTTGAAGCATTTACACAGATGACTGTTTTCTGACGTAGGTGGAGCAGTTGTTCCGACTGGGTTTGAAGGCTCGGCCCGAATGCATAGAAGCTCTGGAGAGATGTGGCTGGAATTTGGAGCAGGCCAGCACTCAAATGCTGGACTCCTACGGTCCATCTAGACATAGGTAGTATAACTATATGATTGTTAAAGGGATAGCTCACCCAAAAATTAGATTTCTTTCTTCAGTGAAACGAGAGAAAATCTGAACAATTTTTTATTGTGTCCATACAATGAAAATCATGGGGGTCCAGTGTTGTGATATTATTTAAATGTCTAAAAAAAACCAATTCTTTAATTGTCGTTTTACACAGAGAAATAAAGTAAAGCGGAATTCTTCATATATTCAACATATCTCTGATTTGTGTCAGGTTCTAATGGCAGAAAAAAAGGAAGAACAGAGCAGATCTCCGTTCCAGCGAAGCAATGAGAATCGATCCAATGAGAATTCAGCTCTTTGACTCTTGACCAGTTATACAATGGATGTTTGCTAATAGATTATGCAGGTAATTTGAATATTCATTGCCTATCTGTTTATAATCAATACAAGAAAAATGCAAAATTCACTTACTTGAAGTACAAGTGCAATGTGAACAGTTTGTATAAGTTTGCTTTTCGCTGCATCAAATGTGACTTGCCTGTGAAATGTTTGTAGTTTATTTATTCTGAATATTTTATTTTATATTAGGAACCATCTGAAAAGTGGGGACATAATTTAAATCTTATCAGCACTGCTCAATATTAATTGAGTGATGTGAGTTGTAATGGTTGCTTCATTCCTTATTTTATGTAAAGACGTTACAGGGTATACTGGTCAGATATTATAAGCTTTTGAATGGATGTATAGACCATTAAGGTGCAGTCGCATTTACTGTTGTTCTGTGAATTTTTGTGGACGAAGTCGGTCGTTTCAATAGGGATTGAAATCCATGTGATCTGCAATTTCGTGTGAGGCTAAAAGATTTCCCCACACAGATTCCTCAAAGGGTTCAAGGTCACATGGCGAATGACCAATTTGGTTTGAAAGTGACTTCTGTGTAAGCTGTGCTTCATACATCGCCACATTATTGACAATGGACGATGGACTTTTTCCTGTGAAATTTCATGATAATATTACCACACATTTCTGCATCTATTATGCTCATACTTTGGTTAACTCTCATTCATGATGTGGCATGCAGTATATAGGCCTTGTTGCTAATATCAGCTTATACTAGTTTATCATTAGTTTTATTCTATGCTGTGGTGGTAAAATTAGTCACCGCCCTGAGACTGCACAGCCACAGCTCACCCATAGTCTGTCTTTTTTCCCCCTCATGCCTCTATTATTTTGGTTTAATCTATTTTAGATAACCCACAATTAAAACGAACAAACTGTGATCGAACTGAGAATGTCAATGTTCATTCCTCATTCCTCAAGGCTATTGTGCCATCATGATGGCTGCAGAAAATACTGTAAATGCACTTATTTTATTCTTAATTCATCAGTTTCTTGTTAGTTTTGTTGGTCTTCATTGTCCTTATCACTGGACCAATTGTTCTCAGTTGCTGATTTAGCTATTATGAGAAAAATATTATCTTTTTCATTTACTTTTAGGTAAGTGGAACTCTGCTTTTATCTTTGCATTTTCCGATTTTGCTCAGGTTCATATATCACAGAAACAGCACTTAGTCTCTGTAATGAAGTCTCATTTAATGAAATGATCTTAACTGGAACTGAGTAACAGCTTTTAATGCACATTTTTCTTCTGTCAGAACATGTTGACCGTGTCCATATGTCACCCACTTTGCATCAATCACTTACAAACATCTTACTTAGCAAATTGAGGCTTTTGCTCTGTGCTTTTGTGCTCTGTAATTTTCATCTGCCTCCTGGACAGATGCTCAGTATTCTAGTTATGTTTTACCTGCACTGGTTTTGTGTTCATGTCTTTGGAATTGTGCTCGCCTTATGTAGGTTGCCTCCCACTTTTTCTGAATTGGATGACAGAATGCTGGGCTTACTGTAAAAGCTTTATAAATGTGTATTCTATAATTGTCTATATGTATTTTTGTACTGAAGTATATATTTAAAACTGGTGTGAACGAGGTTTCATTATTTTATCAGTCTTTTAAAGTTTAAAGTATTATGGCAACTATTCACAGATATATTCACAGATTATACAGAACGCAAGATTCTTAAATCTTATGGACTCATTTAGCCAAGAGGCAGAGCTGGACTATGGGGCCCACTGACCCAGGAAGTGGAGCTGCACCATGGGGCCCACTGACCCAGGAAGTGGAGCTGCACCATGGGGCCCACTGACCCAGGAAGTGGAGCTGCACCATGGGTCCACTGACCCTGGAAGTGGAGCTGCACCATGGGGCCCACTAACCCGGGATGTGGAGCTGCACCATGGGGCCCACTGACCCGGGATGTGGAGCTGCATCATGGGGCCCACTGACCCTGTAAGTGGAGCTGCACCATGAGGCCCACTGACCCGGGATGTGGAGCTGCACCATGGGGCCCACTGACCCTGGAAGTGGAGCTGCACCATGGGGCCCACTGACCCCGGGAAGTGGAGCTGCACCATGGGGCCCACTGACCCTGGAAGTGGAGCTGCAGCATGGATATCCACATGAGCTATGTGAAGCCTTACAGAATATCTACTGAATGTCAAAATGTACAGGACAAGGTGCTGTCTAATAAATATATAAATATATTTAATAAATGAAATACATAAAATATTACAAATTAATGAACTTTTTTTTGCTGTTATGTTGTTAGTTTGTCAGGCATCAAAAAATATTTGAAATATGGATGCTGATATACTTTGACGATTTCTCTAAATCTTTATTTATCTAATCCACCATTAGATATCAGTGCTGTGCTAAAGAATGAAAGATTTTATTGCTTTCAAAGTTACTTGTATCATATTTCATATCCCCCAGACATGAATTTGTTCTCCATTACATTAATAGCACTTGAACTTCTAGAGCAAACTTGACAAATAACCCCAGGTTTTAAGGGGTCTATTTTAGCTGTCTAGTAGTCTCAGCCTCAGACGTCACGCTCATGGACCGTTGGCTGAATGTCTAATGCATAATATGTATATGCATAATATGTATATACATAATATGTATATACACTGAACAAAATTATAAACGCAACACTTTTTTTTGCCTGAATTTTTCATGAGCTGAACTAGCTGAAACCAGTCAGTATCCGTTGTGACCACCATTTGCACGCAGTGCAACACATCTCCTTCGCATAATGTTGCCTTTATAATATTGTTCACTGTGTGTATGTATGTATGTGTATATATATATATGTGAGGTTTGTTTTTGGTTAGCCAGGAAAGTCATCTAAACAGCAGAAGACTTTCAAAATCCTCTTCTTCCATATCATGTTTAGTTTCTTCCATCATTGTCATGCTTCATATCTCCACAGCGCTTGTTAGCTTAGCTTCCAAACAAGATGGCTGATATTGATTTCAGTATCTGCAAGTGAAATCCCACCCACTGATCTGTAATAGGCCTGTAGGGTGAGTGGGTCCCACCCCCTTGAATAATAATGAGCAAATGTTTGTAGTCTCTACAGATTTCATTGAAATGTGACTTCCTGCTTATTATGACGCAAAATGACGATTTTTACGGAATATAAGGGAATAAACCATGACCATTCAAAAATATGACTGGGTTTCTAAAGATACAAAGCCTAATGCAAATGGGTGAAGTGTCCCTTTAAGATTAAGATTTACATGTGCATCACAAACCATTTAGATTTCTTTATTGGGTCTCCACTTGATGTCCAATGTAAAGCTCTAAAGCAAAACCAATTGAGAAGCACTGATCAAGAATACTAGAAAGCATCAGAGTGAACCGTGCAATCAAAATTTCCATTCAGTAATTCCTTTGTTTATTAAAACCTTGTGGCGCGTAAAGCACAGACTATTGAAAAAATTGAAATGGCCCTGATACATTCAAATTGGAATTGAAAGTTTTAGGAGACCAAATAACTATCTTTAACTCTTATTGAAAAGCCCCACTGCGTTCAAGTAATATCCGACGACTCTTGTTCCTGATAAGATTGGAGATTAGACGTAATGCTAGATCAGATTTGTGTCTGCTGTAGTCCGGCTTCTGGAAGCCACTATCACAGAAACATCTAAGACAGCTGAGATTCAGATCGATAACACTCCTGTTGTAAGCAAAGCTGCTGTTCTTCCCATGAGTTCCCCAGTATACCAAGGCAGCTGGTGATACTTCAAACTTTATAAACAGGTTTTTTCATCATTTTCAAAATCTCATGAGGAAGATGACACAGTTGGATAAACTAAAAGGTGTGCATCTGCAAAGGGTGTGTGTTCGTTATTACCAAGAGACCTGAAAGTGCTGTCTGCAGTGGTTGTTTGTCCATACAGAAAAAGGGGACATATTCCCAGTTTCATTGTCTTGTTGTGTTTGCTTGAGCATTAAAAGCTGTGTTGGAGACCTAAATGTTCTGTGACTCATTGCCGAACCTGAGTATATTGATCCCATCACACTCAGATGATGTCTGGCTCTTCCCCGGGACCCAAAAAGGTTCATTCAAAGGTGTTAAACCCAAGGGCTAGAAGATAGATAATGTGCTATTCAAAGGAATATTCCAAGGTAATTGCGTTAGCTGAGCGGCGCACTGAAATGAAAGTTCTTGGCTGAAACCAACTAGGCCAAGATCTAAAACTATTTAGCATAATATCATAATCAGGCGCTATTTACATGTAAATGGGATATCACATGCTTATTACTGACATGAAAATTCACCCTATCTACTTAAAGAATGTTATTGAACCTATTGTGAACTTTTCATCCATTTTTTTTTTTTAATTAGTTTTTACCTTGTCATTTTTTATGGAAATGTCAACTCAATCTTCTGCTTTGAGAAATGTCATAACTGACTGGTGACTGCAATCTTGCATTCAGATCTGCCTCCATCCAATCAACAACCCTATATTTCTTCTTTTTTAGTATTTTGTTTCACTTGTCACAGTAATGAAGACAAGATCTGTTGCTATTTTTCTAGTAAGCTGACTTGGACTTTAAAGTAAGCTGTTTCTGTTGAAATATTCAGTCAAGAATGTCAGCCTGAAATTTGTGTTGTATAGTTGATTAAATGATCAGAATTTTCAAACAGAGCAACGTTTTGCCACAGAGTGTGCTCTTTTTTTGGTGGAGTCAGCCTACAAATGGTTTAAAACTTGAATATGGAGAAAGAATGTAAAAAACACATTTTCTTTTTTTTTTACTCTGAAAAATGTTGATTATGCAGCGTATCAATAAACAGCATGAGTCATACAGTCTAACCATTTTATGCATTTAGTGTTTTATATATATATATGTGTGTGTGTGAATATATGAATGTTCATAAATATATATTACAAATAATTCTGAAATATTTTTCTCTGTCTGTATTGTGGCCTTGAGTGACATTTTCTTATAACTTTAATGTCTGATGGTCCGACTTTAGACATTAACGTGACGGAGGAGGAACAAATGTGAGGGTGCAGGTGGCTCGTCTAAAGATAAGACCATGGCTGTAGTTCAAACAGCTTTACACCCATCAATTTCCAAACTGTCATTTTAGTGACAGATAACTGCAGGTCACCAAATAAGCTCCCCACCATCATAACACTTCCGTACCAACACCCTCGCCCCCACACACACACCTTGATGAAAAGCCAACAGCAAATTAATTTAAGCTTTGATGACTAATGGGTACAAACCCTCCCATCAAAGTTCTTGATTATCTCTGTAATGTGTGACGTAATGCATGTTTATCATTCAGTCTTCCTCTCTCACTTGAGTCTTTTTCTTTTCCTGTTTCGCTTCTCATTAAGCAGAAGCCTTTGGCCCGAGCAGCGACTTTGGGTTGAAGGTGTTTGTTTTCGTAATCCTCTTGTTCCGTGGTGTGAAATTTCCTTTCCTTTTCACCTCTGCTCGTCCACTGGGCTTTTTCAAAATACATATCATAATAATTATTCTCTGTTCCTCTGAGTGTGATTCTGTGAATCACAAGTGTGAAAAGAGTCTCATGATGCCCTAATGCACGAGTCGGAGACAGCTCTGTATGTTCAGTGTTCTTTTCATTAAGGACAAGAAAACATCACCATTTACTGTGAGCTACATCTTTCTCTATATGCACTCAGCATGTGTGTATACGTGTTTTTGTGTGTATGTGTGTCCATCCATCCAAATGTTCTTTTTTTCTTTCTTTCTAACATCCTGCAAATTTATCTGGCATTCTTCCTTCCTTCCATCTGCCCATCCATCCAGCCATCATTTGTCCCATCTATCCATCTATCTATCTATCTATCTATCCATCCATCCATCCATCCATCCATCCATCCATCCATCCACCCACCCACCCATCCATTTTGCTCCCGAGAACAAAATTTGATGAAAACAGTTCAACAAAGGCATCAATAAACTATCCCGTTATCGGGAAAACCTCTTTTCCGAAGTGGGCATGGCCTAGCCCTATAAATATAGCTCGATAGGCTGATGTCACTGATTTTTCATCTCTTCAGTGAAGCTCACGCATTGCTGGATCTAGAGTGAGAACTTTGATCCAGGACAGCCAATAGGCGCGCTAAGCCGCCTTGCCTATGTCTGCATGCTACCGCAACGTGTTTTACATTAAATCATAATTAAGTATAATATTTTAGCTTTAATATCTCATGGAAAATAGATTTTCCCCTGGTATAAGATATTACGCAGCACTCGTTCCCTCTTCTAGAGAGAACCAAGGTCACGTTAGTATCCGAGTAAGATTTTCTGGTACAAATTTCAAGCTTATGTATAGATAAGGTTATTAGGTTGCCAGCTGCATCCATAGTTTGTTCCATCCGTCTATCCGTTCCATCTGTGCATTGTTCTTTCCATCAATCTATTGTTCTTTCTATCTGTCCATTTTTTGTTCCATCCATCCTTGTTCATTCCATCAATTCACCCGTCCGTTCCATCTTTCCATCAACCCATTCATCCATCTGGCATTCTGTCCATCTGTCGTTCTTTTTTTTTCTTTTTGGACGAACTTTGCTTTTAAAAAAAAGTAATAC